AACTAGTAAAGATTGCTAAAATAAATGTAAATTTAATTCACCATCCGGGATAAAAGTTTTAAATAAAATTGAAAATTAAGCCTCCCTTTGGCCCGTCCGTCGAGGATAAATAAATTAGGATATTTTTTTCTTTCGCCATACCCAAAAATTAAATGTTTCCTCCAAGTTAGACGCTCGGCACTGCCGCCCCGCGACACTTGCATAGTTCACTTAAACATATTATACTACGTGTAGTATGTAGTAGTAGTAAAAAAATATGAACTCACTTTGTCATGCATCACTTTAAGGTTCCTAGCGAGCTTGGGGTGCACTCCTCATTGAATTATAAACTAAACCTTTGTTGCTGGTCGGCGCGAGCCGAGTCCCGATGTGTCGCGTGTCGCGTGGCTGGGGGCGGCGGACTGCCTTGCGCGCCCCTCGCCGCCGGCAACGCGCTTTGCCGTAGGCGGCCCTCGCGCTGACACGCCCACAACAACACTCCTCTCGTACGGTCCCTTGATTCTAGATTCCTTGTTTTAGTGGCTGTCCACAGCCACGAGGCACCAGCAGTTCACATCATCTATCGTGCGAGTTCTTTTGCCTTCTTTGGTAAGATTAACAGTCAGATGACTCCAAATAGTAAGTAGGAATAGGTGTATAAATTATAACACGGCTAACCTCACGTGATAACGTTTGGTGTAGGCACCGACAGTTTATCACGTGAGTTTAGCCGTGTTATAATTTATATAGTATAATGTCTCGCGAAAGTTTTACTAAGGAATAGGTGTCTTCAGAAAAGCCAGAGAACCTCAAAAGTCAATTGATGTTGAAACCATCACTACTCAACTTTGGGAAAAGGTACCTAGTACCTAATTTAAATTCACTCCTAATGTTTTCGACAATCTATCTAATGTTATATCAATGACAAGGAATCTAGTATTCATATACGACTTTTTTGTATCATAAGAGCAAGTGGCTACCAGAATCCGCCAAATGGCGAGGACTAAAGAGAATATTTCCCCTTTCTATACGTCTTCTCCACTGTCAAATCCACTTTCCTTATAAGGAAAGGGTGGAAAGGAAAAGAAACTAAAATAGAACTCCGATACGTATACACATAAGATGAATCGCGGAATTACTACAACTTCAACCTGTCTTCTACGTGGTCGTTGTATTACACCCGGCGGGTCAACTCGTGCGAAGATGTCAAAGCGGGCTCTACCACTGTCAAGAACGTAGACGAAGTCTAAAGATCCAACTAGTTGGTTTCCATTAGGTACATACCTACCCTGGCGCGAGATGTGCGACCTCCTGGAGCCCGCACCTCGCCCGCTCCCCGCCCGCACCCCGCCCGCTCCCCGCCATCCCGCTTAATGGCGCGTAAAATGTATAACATTCAGCATTAATGCTTAACCCTTTGTCGATATCGACAAGCAATAAATAACATAAATATTGGATCAGTAACGCCGCGTACGTAACGGATTTTTTTACAATTTGCTTCGCCAATATATCGTACGCTCTCCCGGTATTTTTTTTAGTAATAAAAGAATGTTGTTTTTTGCAAAACGAAATAAATAAAAATACAAATGTTACATAAAGATTTATTCATGATATATTTGATTTAATACCAGAAGATGGCGACCGAACAAGCTGTCACTTGATATTGTTAAATAAGTGACCGCTGCCCACAAATACAATCAAAAGTTGCAGATGGTCTGGCGGTAGAGGTGCACAGGTCCAGTGGTAGCCCGTAAATAGTATTTGCAAAAATGTGCTCGAACGGTGCGAAACAATGACCACATTGAAGACCGAGGTCGCGAGAGACACGACGAAAGCCTTGAACACAGGTTACATTTTGGTGAGTGTACGCAGGAATTAACTATATGAACTTATTCCCCCCATCCCCTTTTCACCACTGAACGTCGAGACGTACGGCTGGTCTCCATCCTTTCTTAGTTGATGTGCCACGGGCCCGAACGAGCCGATTCGAGACGTTTCTCGTGCGCACATCAAAGGAATGGAACAAGTTGCCGGCCTCAGTGTTCCCGTCCAGTTATAACGTGGGTGCCCTTAAGAGCAGGGTGAATCGGCACTTATTGAGCTAGCGCGCTCTATCCTTCGGCCGCGTCTTCACTTAGGTTAGGTGGAATCGTGGTCAAGCGATGGTTTATTTATGTTTAAAAAAATGAGCGTCTGATACGAGCTGGAGGCCTTATTTTAGTCATATTTCCCTTTCCGCTATTTTCGTACTAGGAATGGATGAGAAGTGGGAGTGGATTGGTGGAGGGAGGGGACAAATACGTTCGGGAAATATAGTATTTCATGTGATTCTTCTTCTATTTACTAATGGTAGGCAACGCGTCTGTTAATCTGGATGTCTATGTACAGAGCTCACTTTGCTATTTTGGCGAATTCTGGTAGCCGCTTGCTGGTTTGTCACCTAATATTATAAAAAAATACCATGCCTCCCTTCAATGGACACAGAAGCGGAGGGTACAAAAATGTATTTATCCACTTCACCCGGAAGGGAATAAATAAAAGAAAATATCATCAGAAAGGTTTTTCAATATCAGTAAAGAGTGGGGAAGATGTCAAGATATCAGACTGTACGCTGAAGAACATCTAGTTGTCTTCTGTGTGGTCAAGGCATTGCACCGTTCGGTGTACAACGTCCTATAATGTGTGTAATGTCATATAGTGCAAGTTGATGCTGAGTTTCATTCCTAAGAGAATCGCTGACAATAGCAATTGCATATTATTTAATTGTTAGTATAGAATATGATTATAAAGTAAGACACCCTCATTTATCCCGGAGCAGTTGATCTTAACAGCTCTAGCTGACGTGCGTAACTAAATTGAAAACTGTATAGTTTAATTGACAGTTCAACTAAAACCAAATATTTCGAATGTACAGTAAAAACTAAAGGCGTTAGCAAGCTCAAGATGTCATTGGAGTCGTTTCTTTGTCAAACTTATAAACAATATTACTAGAATCGCTTTATTAACAGGTGTCGTAGCAATTTGCGGAGATGTCACCCACGTTCCTGCCCCCGCGCCCGCCCCCTGCCGCTGCCTGGTCTCATTCAAAATAACAACTATGCTGTTTAAAATAATGAATAAAAAGCAAATGTAGAAAGGGGTCGTTTAGTTACTCTGCAGTCGCCACGCTCGAGAGCCCATGAATTGATTGAATGCATTATGATGCGGCGGCGGCTGTGCGAGTGCGAGTGCGAGCGGCCAAAGGGTTGCCGACACACACACGCACACACACGCACACACACGCACACACACACACACACACACAGGTGTCCTCAGTTTAGTTACCGATGTAAGTCTAAGACACATCTTCTGGTGCGGGCTACGGTTATATACAATTTCAATCTAAAACACTGCTTTAATAATTATTATTATAATTAGTCAACAACTTTCCTTATTATTTTCAGTTATATATTAATTTAGAAATGTGAGAGCATCATGTGTTTACTGATGGCACCAGGGGCCCTCGCCCGCCCCTAGCTCTCGCCCGCGGCAGGGGCGGCGCGGGGCTCATTGTTTGCTTGTTTAGTTGTGAGGCTGAGGCCGAGGCTTATCCACAGAGTTTATTTAACGAGCCGGCTAATAAACGGACTGGTTTATTAGCGGACGAACTTTACAACGGCAATGTTTTTTTTACCATGTGATCGAGATGTTGGAAAACTGCAAGCATTATAAACAAAATACTGCATCGGTGGCTTCGGTATCGGTGATGCTGCGGCGTAGCTCCACGCTCCTTATCTACGAACCGCTGAGAGAGCCGACGCAAGGACAACTTTACCGCACAAGATCAAATTATCCTACATGTAACAATCAAAACCTTACAATAGGAATTGGATTCTAACATTGCATTGTAGATTTGCCAGCTTATTGTTGTTATTTGAATTCAAAAATGTTTACGTACGGTAGAGTCGTGTGTAGAGAAACAAGTTGTAAACATGACGCTAATCCTTTAAACATTTAAACATTTACAGCCAAAGTAGCGAATTAATCTCAGTTTCGGGGTGGTACGGGGTGGTGCGGGGCGCGGCGGCCGGGAGTCGCTTTGTCATGGTAAAAGGTCTGCAACGGAGGGCGGCGGAAGGGTTGTAAACAATGACGTAGCTAAAGTTAGCAGAAAACTAAACGCTCATACATGCTCACACAAAGCATGATGGGGCTTTAAAAAGCACCACTTTGAAAGGGTAATCGGTAAAAAATTATAAGACCTTTATAACATTTTTTTTTATTTTATAACAATGACAATGTTTATTTTCTTAGCTTTATTTGGTAAAATCTTGTTCGCAGATAATGGAAAATACTCAAGTAGAGATTTAATGCAACTTAACTAAATACACTTGGGGTTTCGCTATACGCAAGGCGAGGTGCGAGGCGCGGCCGCTGCGCCGGCGCAGCAGGGGCAGCAGGGGCAGCACGGCTCGCGGCCGCTGCGACTACGCACGTCTGCACCTGCAAATTATTAGACACCTCGATAACGTAACTTTATCAATACAATATCAAACACATTACAATAAAACAAAGTAATTACTGCGTTTAACATTATCAGAAGCATGTTGTGTTTGCTCGCCCACGCCGCCTGCTCGGTGCCCATTTTATGAAATATGAAGGTAATGAAACCGTGAGAAAATGTTGACGGCCGCCAGGCGGCGCCGGACAGTTATCGGTGCAGTGATATTTTCGCAATAATATTCCATTTGTCGGGCAGAGGTAGACTTTAATAGTATTGTTCGCTGCTGCCGTTTCTGAACATATTTGTCGATATTGTTGTTGTCGTATGAGCACTGTGTTCGTTGTTCCCGAGTGCCCCCTGCCCGAGCCGAGGTGCCGCAAGGATTAGGCATTGCTGTCTAGTTTAACACCATAATATTATATTTACAACGTGATATGTCGGCTGCATTCTGGCGTCACTCTGTCATTTGTCCCTTCATCGAAATACCGTCATTCGTCAATTCCGCAGCCAACTACAAAACTACACGCCTCCTCTTTCACACGTTTACTGTTATCTTTGATCTTAGTATAGTGACTGACACCTCACCACTAACCCGGTCCAAATTTGCATCCAACATATTGAAATAATCTGTAATTTGATACAATAAATATACGAGTATGTACATATTTATTACGTTGCGTTGTTGATAGTCGCACGGAGCACGTAGCTATTCGTAGGTAGCGCGCGGCGTAGCGGCCCTACGGCGCGCGCGGCAGCCCGCGCCCGCGGCGGGCTTGCGGTGCGCCTGCCGCACGTGCAAGCACACACTCAACCAAATGTTGTAAATAAATATAAACACTAAAAAACATTGTATTATTTGCACAATTGCCCTGTTTTGTGCAGATATCGCGAATATTGGCCTTAAAAAAGGACTCCTGGCCGCAATAAAATTGATAATCTGGCTAATCCTTGTTTGCTTTGAATGTGAGTGAAGTGGGTGGCCTGATAAGGTGACAGGTAGTCGCAAGCGGTCGTTTCTATTGGTTCGTTGGCGCAACAGTATCAGCCGACCGCGCCGCGCCGGCGCCCTCTGCACTGTTACTAGAAGCGTATCGTTTATTAGGTCATTTGAAATGCATTGATTCGGACCACATAAATATGAAGAAATACAAAAAACTATAATTGGAATGTGAAGCGTCGAGCGTGAACAGGGCGCAGGCGTCGTTCGAGCGCGTCTCAGTGGGAGCGGCGGGCGTCGCGAAACATGAACATTCTTTTTGTAGAAAAAATACTGTCGAACATAGTTATATTCAAAAAAGAATAAATAATGTATTTTTGTTAAAATAAATAACTAACTACTGTCCTAAAAAACACAACACATCTACGGCAGCTACGGCACGCGGTCTCTCTCGGCCCGCCCGCCGCAATGCTCTGCGCATTCGATCCATTTGACACGTTCCTACAACCCCGGCCGCAATTTCGGTGTTCTCGTAGCGCTTGCGAAATAAAGACTATTGCAGGAGTAGATGTACACAATCTTATGCTACTCCGTTGCCAATTGCAGTCACCAAATTAATTTTCATAATCTTCGTAACAGTCAAGACATTATCGATGCAAAGTTCGTTGCGAACAGTCGTGGAAAATCTAAGTAATTCATAACCGTTTTTAGCCCTTACTTAACTTGAACACTTTTGCTGATGGTTAGCTCGTTGATAAAGTGCATCGGTTTTTAAACACACTCTGTGTTACTTTTGACAGCACCGGAACAGGAATCCCGCGCTTAATACCATGTGCATTGCCGGGATCATTTTAAAACCTGATGGGTACTGAACCAGTGGGCTCATACGGCAATGGAGATAGCGGTCTTATACGCAACACTCTTTGCCAACAATTCACGACTAGATACTGGCAGTGCGGTACTACCTTTAATTCCTTGCTGCGAGGCAGCTATGGCTGAAATCTGCATAACGCAAAAAGAGGTTCTCAAAGCATTGCGATGTCTAGACGTAAACGAAGCCAGTGGACCGGATGATATACCGGCTGTAGTTGTGAAGACATGCGCTGCCGAGCTGTATTCAATTATAATACGTCTGTATCGTCTCGTTTAAGACTGGCAAAGTGCCAAAGTCCTGGAAGCTAGCTAACGTATAATTTATTTATAAAAAAGGCAATCGGACTGAGCCTGCAAATTACCGTCCCGCATCAATAACCTCTATACTTTGCAAGATCTTAGACCGTATATTGAACAATCGCATCATAGCGCATTTAGAAATTAATTTACTTTATTACAGGTGTATAGTTATTACCGTCATAAAAATCGTAAAAATCATTTAAAAATATAAAGCTTCCAAATAAAATACTTTAATATAGGAACATGCTGACAAAAAAAAATAACTTTAAATTGAAATGAATTTTAATGTCTATCTTACTCTTACTAATATTATAAATGCGAAAATTTAGATAGATGGATGGATGGATGGATGGATGGATGGATGGATGGATGGATGGATGGATGGATGGATGGATGGATGGATGGATGGATGGATGGATGGATGCATGGATGGATGGATGGATGGATGGATGGATGGATGGATGGATGCATGGATGGATGGATGGATGTTTGTTAGCGTTTGTAGCCTAGGATCTCCATAAAATTTGGCACAGGTTTAGAGCATAGTCTGAAAGAACACATAGGCTATTTTTTTATCCCGGAATAAGTTACGGTTCCCGTGGGATTCATTAATTTAGTTTTTTAACGTTTACTCGATCATTCTGCAACGGTTCAACATATCTTATTGAAATTTGGCACAGATGTAAAACAAAGTCTGGAGTATACATGGGATAAGCTTCATCCCGAGGTGTCCGGTTCCCGAGGGATACATAGCTTTTTGTTATTTATATACTTCGTATGTTTTCTAATACCACGCGGATGAAGTCGCGGGCAACAGCTCGTTAAAAATAATGATTATTGATTATGATGTCCACCGTGACCCGTGACGTATTGATTCAGTTTTGACATTTATTTATGTATACGATAAAAAAATCATTTTGACACAAAATCATTCATTCACTTAATTAAAAATTATATCTTCAGTAATATATCTATTCACCATGGAAGTAATATGTACTAGTAATACTTCCATGCTATTCACAGAACGTACTGACAACATTATTTTGAAAGGACTTGTCTATTTTTTGTATGGGAGGTAGTTTTGTTTTAATTAACAGGTCTCGAACCAACTTTACTATTACATATGTTAAAATAAAATAATAATAATCATTTAATCTATTCAAAACACTACAACACTTACAGAAATTAGAAAACACTGAAAATAACAAATTTAAAATTTAACCAATTAAAACTATAACTAAAAGTGAACGTTATGAAAAAAACTTTGTTAACTAACTTTTGTTTTCTGACGTCAGCTGATCATTGCTTCAGATGGATCTTAACATATTCGTGTTAATTAAATTGAATTGTTAAAAAATAACACAAAATACATAATTCTAAATCAGACATTGCTAAATAAGTCTCGTGAAGTTTATGTCACAAACCTATCTTTTTCCTTATATCTTAAATCTGAAATTAAAAAAAAATATTTTAATAGAGAAAAGAAGAAATAAATGCTGTGAAGAAATAACTAAGCGTTTAAGTTATTTGTTCTTGAACCAGAATGTCATGTCATGCATGGTCACCATAATTCTGCACCAACAAATTATTTTTAAAACTATTACCTGTGAAAAAAAAAACCGACTTCCAAACAAAATACACTAAAAACAAAATATTCTCAAAAAAAAAAAACAGTACACTAAAAAGTAACGAAATGATTCCTTGAAAATAGTAAACCTCCCTTATTGTAGCTGTTATGTCAATATTGTACAATTATTATTACTTTGATGTCGGTGTCAGTCAATGTAGATTCATTACTGTTTTTTTTTTGAGAATATTTTGTTTTTAGTGTATTTTGTTTGGAAGTCGGTTTTGTTTTTTTTATTAAAAAGTGTGTTTTATTAAAAGTATGAAAATCACTACCTTTCAAACAAAGAATGAGTTATCTAAATCGATTATATAAGAAATTAAGTAAAGATCTAATACATCGTTGCGATCATTCACTCATAATTCTGTCCAGCCGCGCGCCGCTGTTGCCCGTGAGTTTTAATATTTTGATAACTTCTAGAATATTGGTCAGAATTACATACTGCAAAAGGCAATTATGATCTACATTTCATACTCTATCGTGAAAATATATTTATTTGGATAAGGATTCATACCAAATAAGAATAAAAGCGTTTTAAATGAAGTCGATTGCATTTATTTGACGGTTTTCGCGAAACAAACGGTTATTGTGCGACAACCTTAAGAGATAGATTTTTTTATGCGACTCGTAATTTGCTAATTATGATATCTCCTAAACTATTGATCAGAATTACACAGTTCCAAAGGCATTTATAATCTACATTAAATACTCTTGATGATAGACACATTTATTTGGATAAGGATTCATACCGAACACAAGAAAAGCGTTGAAAGTAGGGTGTAGATTTCGAGCGATATTTTTATGAAAAAGGTGGTTATTGTGCGACAACCTTAATAGATAGACCTTAATAGATATGCTATCGCGGACTTTTATGTAGCAAATTTAAAGGGCTACAATTCTTCCATACATCATTTTTATGTAGGTCTTATAGTTTAGGCTACATAAGCAAAGAAAGCAAAAATGACCCGAAATTTCGTCGCGCGATTTTGAGCTAAACTATTTAACTACGTCGTAGTCCTTGACCCCAAAATCAAAAAAAAAAAATGGGACCCACCTGCAAGCATTACCTTTCGGATAAAAAAAGAATTGTCAAAATCGGTCCACTAGCGGCGGAGTTATGCCGTAACACACATAAAAAAAAATATACAGACGAATTGAGTACCTCCTTCTTTTGGGAAGTCGGTCAAAAAATAACCCACAATCAGCATAATACTCGCTGCGGCAAGCCTCTATGACACACATTTTTCCCGATTTAACTAAAATTTTTCAAAAATATCATGAAATCAAAAAGACTCTGCCATTACCGTCCGAGTCGAAATGTCATTTGGGGTTGTTATATCAGGTGTATAAATTTGATCAAATAAAAGTGAAGCTGTACGCCAATCTCAAAATTATTGCGTTAATAAGGTTTGACACGGTTTTGTCGGTAAAAAATTATTATTAACATTTAGAAACATTTTAGAATTTAATGTTTTTACTCAATTACATTACATCAATCGCCTAATTTTCTACAAAGAATGTAAGGATTAATATATGGCAACAACTGTTAGAAAGAAACACAGGGAACACTTGTAGCCCTCTCACTCGGGTTCAATTTTATTTTGCGTGTTGTAAGTCTCTTACGTCCTTAGCATAAAGTTTTATTATCTTCATTTTAATTGCAAGATGTACAGATAGAACATTTCTGTTGTACTTAGTACTTTTTACCTATAAAAATGTAACAATGTCATCTTATAAAAGCGATTTTGACCAATAATTTCGAAGGAACTGCAATGATGTGTGTCGCGATTTTTAGTTTCTAAATGCTAGAAAAAAATGTAACATGTAGATTTATTTACTGATGAAGGCCAAGAGCATGATGATGCTAAATTACGATCAATTAGCACATAGTTTGTTATATTTTAACATACGAGAATTTCGGAAGAAAGTGGGAATTTTTTGCTTACAGGTAACTCCAAATACTAGCAGTCGCCCCTTTGTCAATGTCAAAAACTGCCGTAAGACGCAAGTATGATAACTGTATATAATGTATTATATTATTTACGTTGTACACCCATTGGTCAAGGCATAAAACTTATCACTGAAAGTTAGAAAAGTTAATAGTTAGTAAATGAGATGTTGTGCTCAGTAAAGCAGAAGCTAGTGAACTCGCGTGTGCTTATGGTAGATGTTACCGGTATCAATAAAGACTGCTTTAACGAGATATGATTAAACTCGTTTCAAAGTTCGCTACTAACGCTGTAAAACCGTATAGCATTATTATGAAAAAACAAAGCACAAAAGTTATGGTAAGAAGCAATAATTTGCTTAATAGATTTTCAGTCTCTTTATTAATGTGTAAACAGAAAAATGTATGAATTCCTTTTCACAATTCCTAGGCAATGTGTAAAACTCCTGAATTCGCGTAGAAATGTATTAAATAAGTTATGTTAGACACATTTCCAAGTTACTCAACCTAAGGAATTGGCTGACACTGTTTATTTTACTGTGAATAAGGCTCCTGGAATTGTGCAGTGCTCTTCCCTTCCTCTCCTTATAAGAAAAGGGTGGTAAAGAGAAACGGACTAAAATTACGCCTCTGGCACCACACTCATCAGATGAAACACGGAATTGCTTCCATTTCACACCTCTCTTCTGTGTAGTTATGGTATTACACCAGGCGTGCCGCCCCATTGAAAATTTAACATTCCAGTAACATATATTTCAATGTAAACATTACACAATTGTTTTGCACTTATCAATATCTTAACTCCGATGCGTCTTGTTTTAACACTTATATTTTTGTGTTTTAATCAAAACATAGGAAAGTTGAGGAAAAATTAAGGGAAGATGAAGGACTAACATAGTTATTGCAATATTTTAAGTTATGTGATTTCTAAAGACTAAATATTTAGGATTGAAGATATCTAGATCATTTGAAACACTGTCGTCATGTCTCATTCTAACAAAAGGATTATAACATGAGGTATTGTAAATATTTTTGTATGTGTTGAAACAACTCAAAAACTATGGAGCCTAACTCAAAAATTCTTTCACCATCAAAAAGCTATGTTATCAGTAAGTAGCATAGGCCATGTTTTTATTAGTTTTTTAAGTTCACACAGGATAATTGATATAAATTGTGAGCAACAGCTAGTTATTTATAAAACTAACTTTCTTTAGGCTTAACTGTAGCATTTTGTTAGTGAACTGAGTCATTACTTCTGTATGAGACACTTAATTGCAATTGTAGGTTGTGCTTTACTCGTGTTATCATTGTAAATACTCCTAATCTTACTATATAGAAAGATAAAGTATAAAGGAACTTTTAATCTATATTACATGATTCTGATAAAATATTTGTTTGGATAAGAATTAATATTAAATAGAATAAAAAACTCCTAGTTGTTATTTTTTCTGTTTAACTTGTTTTTAACTGTTTCAATTATTTTTTACGTGAATACAAATGCCAAGTGAAGGAAGTTTTTAGGTATTTTTCTTCAGACATGGATGCAGTATTACATTATGTTTGTAGATAAGAAGTTCGTATAAAAAACAATGACAATATGTCTAAGTTGAAGTTGAAAGTTTTTCATCATTTAAATGTGAAAATGTGTAAAATATGCAAACCTTGATATCTACAATAATATACAGCGTTATTGGTAATTCAACATATTCCCACCAGGAGGTGATAAAGGCACAATCAATTGTGATAATTTTGGCCCCAATATGCTTTATACAAAAGTTAACCATTTTTGAGTAATCATGGTTTTCATATTTTTTTTAAAGTAATTAATAAATGCTCTGAGAATATGAATACATAGAGAAAAATATGTTCAACTTAATTAACAACAATTTTGGTCATGTCAAATGTTTTTGTTTAAATGGTATCGGCCAGGGAGCGACGGCGACGGTGCGAGTGCGCCAGGGGGAGCTGCGCGGGGCGGCGCGCGCGCTGCCCGCCCCCGCCCCCGCCGCCGCCGGGGAGCACTACTTTAGCTTCAAAGGCATTCCGTACGCGCAACCTCCCGTAGGCAAACACCGTTTTAAGGTTGGTCAAATTCTGAGTTCCGTGAAGTAATATGCCTGATCAATTTATTGAACTTGTTTACCTTAGCCTTAATTCAGTTCCACGACTAAATTTTGCAGGAGCGCGGTACACTAATATGTACAAATGTGGGTAACGCAGAGGAGAGTATGTAAAATATAAATATAATTAAATGGAGGAATTTCGCTACTTCATCCGACGCATGGACAATATTTCGTCACTAAAAATCGGAACTATTTAGTTGGGAACTTTAAAGTTTTTTATCGAGACTTGTTGTAGGCGCCGGCCCCGCCGCAGCCCTGGCGC